ATAAATTCGAATGAGCTGCTACTGCTAATAACTGGAATGAAGACAGAAAACTTGCTATCGCTAAAGCCTACATATATGATAATGCAAAAGATTGGTTAAAGAGAATGGAAGAAAAAATCCAACAATATGATATTGGTGATAATGATAATCGATTCAAAGTAAAATTCTTAGAACAGTTTATAACTACCAAGAAGCGAGCTATTTGGCAACAAGAATTTTTTGACCTAAAACAAGAAGCAAATACTGTAGATACCTATGCTGCCCAGTTTAAGAAACTGCAAAAGAAAGTGACCCCAGATCCAGCATATCAATTTCCTGATCCTTTTGTTGTTCAACTTTTTATTAAAGAATTACGATCTGAATATGCAATTTCTGTACAAGCATCGACTCCAGAAAACTTAAATAAAGCTATTGCTATTGCTAAACAATAGGAAACTGGAAGATTAATGGCCTTAGCAAAAGATCTAGTAATGAATGATATTAGTAACCTTACTAGCCACTTTGACAAATTAGCTATTAACATAATTTAACAGCAACCAGAACCCAATCAAAACCTGCTTATGTAGCTGAAAGAGAATCTAGTTTCTCTCACCAAAACAACTTTAATCAGGATAAAGCTCTTTGCTATTATTGTGGAAACCCAGGACATTTCATTGCTAATTGTAGAAAAAGACGTAATGATAACCAAAGAAATAGAAACAACAGGAGAAGAACTAACAATAATAATAATAGAAGAAATAATAATAACTGTTACAATAATAACAATAACAGAAGAAATAGAGACAGAAGTCAATCTCGTGATAGAAACTATAAGGATAGAAGCCAATCAAAAGACAAAAATTACAGAAGCAGATCTAGAAACTGAAGTCAAGATAGATGAGGACCCAGATCTAATCGCTTACCATTATTCTATTACCGAAATGTTAATATGGCTAAAAAGCAACCTGCTTCTAATTCTAACAATTGGGAAAGATTGTTAGACAATTATTCTATTAGAACTGCTCTAACTACTTATATCACTGAAGCCAATAGAAAAAATACCAAACCTCAACCTATTAGTACCATTATTCCTGTTAAATGCTATATTGATATTCAAGATCGTATTTACCCTGCTATCATTGACAGTAAAGCCTCTGTTAGTATAATCTCACACCAAACTGTGAAGGAACTAGGTCTTAAAATTGAAGAACTATCAAAAAGCCTTATTGTTGCTACTACTGGTACCACCTCCAGACCTCTTGAAATTATTAGAAATTTGCTTATTAGGATCCAAGGTCAACTTATCCCCTTGGATGTGGAAGTTGTGTCTGCTACCTCTTATTCTATTTTACTTGGAAACGATTGGTTAAAGAAAGTAGAAGCT